TAGTAATAATCATAATGGTGTAAATATTACCCATTTGGTCAATAATCCAAGGTGACAATTACGCCATCCCTGCAAAAGACCCCCGGAGGAAAATTCCCCCCCCCCCGCCCGGAAATGACTTCCTGTCGAATATCCACCCTGAAAATAAGTTGGTTTTAACTAATGCAGGTTGTATCGGGGGGAATTGTCCTCGGGTGGGGGGGGGGGGGTATTGCCTTCACATTGGTTTTTCGAAAACACCAGTTGTGGCGATCATGGTATCTTTATCGATATGTTTTGCAATTTAGTGATATTTGACTTAGTTTTCGACGTTTTTTAGTATTACAAATTTTCTGCTCTGGTGTTTGATTTTCAGGTGGTGACGCTGGCCGGGCCCCTAAAGCAGAGATAAAAAAAAAAAAGTGTGTAACAGATAACACATAATTGCGTTTGATTCCTTTTTCAAATCATCATCTACTTCTAATTATTCCTGAAGTGCGTATTGGAGACTCAATTGTGTGTAACAACGTCACATTTTCTTTCGCCTTGCAGATGATAACCTCAAAAGAATGTAATATGATTTTTAATTGTATTGGATAGAAATACAAGAACGACGTGTATTATTGGTATTTAAAGTCATAAAACACATTCTAAAAGTGCCATTAAAATATCGAATTCTTTACCGAATAAAATTTCAATTGAACCCTATTTAACTTGTAGAGCTTGCCTTTGTAAAACATATGTGGTCTTGCAGTGAGTTACAAAACAATGCAATAGGTATTTGGGCTGTTTCATCAAACATTTTTTTCGGAAGAGAAGCTGTTTTTTTCGAGCTGGCTTTGATAGCATCCAAGAAATCGAAACAGAAAAGCCAATAACAACGTTAGAGCCGCCAACCCCATGGTAAATAAATTCCCCTGCGATTATGCGACATTAGCTTGGCACTAACCTTACTCTACCCATTAATTATGCTTGGGAGAACTTCTGCGTAGAACAGATCTACCAAACTGATAAACGTAATGTTCCGTTTACTCAGAATTCAACTTGTCCCTAGGTCTACGATCACGTCCACGAAAGGCAAACATAAACTAACTTTTAATCTTAAATTTTAACCTTAAATAAGTTAAAGATCTCATCAAACAAAGGGCCAGAGAGCTAAAGAATAGGTAAATGGCCAAAATTTAAATGAGGCGAGTGAGAAGGAGAAGTAGTAAACGATAAAGGAAGAAAGAGATAGATGGCAAGACCGTGAGGAGCTGCTGAAGAGAGGAGATAATGAAACATACAGTAATGGATACATAAGAAGAGAGATAGGGAGATAAAGTGGGGGAGTGAGGAAATGTATGAGTACAAAAGGCTGGATAAAGGAAAAGGTTTCCAGTGCCGGAGTAGTTTGAGAGCTTGGAAGAGACAGCGAGTTGTTGGAATACAGATTTTAGCTCAATATCGATGGTGAATCACATGTGCGCGCGCGCGCGCATGTGTGTGTGTGTGTGTGTGTGTGTATACGTATATATATATATATATATATATTCATCTGTATGTATATATATAGACCGAAGAGCGGAGCTGTTAAAGAGAGTAAATAATGAAAGATGAAGTAATGGATATATATTATGAAAGGACAAAGAGAGAGAGAGAGAGAGAGAGAATGTGGGGGCGTGGGGAAAGGTAAGAAAACAAGAGGCTGGATAAAGGAAAGGTTTTCGAGTGGCGGAATGGGGTGAGAGCTTGAGAGAGACAGCGAGTTGGTGGTATACAGATTTTGGCTCAATATCAATGGTATATTACCTGTGTGTGGGTGTGTGTGTGTGTGTGTGTGTGAGGGTGAGTGTGTGTGTGTGCTCTTGTAACACACCTGCCAATAAGGGGTAAATCGGAGATAGCCCCGATTTCCAAATCGGGGCTATTTGAAATGCTTTTAGAAACGCTTACAAATAATTAAATAATACCGCCATCTCTTGTTCTGGTCTTTTGGAAAAATGCCTCCATGGAGAAAATAAAATATCATTGAAAACAAAATTATACGCATTGCCTTTAAAATTTTATTTAAGGGTACCATTGCTAAAAAATAACACAGATTTGATTACGTGGTAAAGTTCTCGCACACGTTTGATATCCCCGATTACACGGTAAATTTCTCGCACATAATTGATACCCCCGTTTCCACCCTAAAATCTTTGCACATTACCTCGATATCCCCAACTGTACGGAGAAATACTCGGCAACTTAAGGTTCATATAACATCATCAGGGCGGCTCTACAAGGGAGGGGCAGGGCGCGGCCGCCCCTTATGTGCTCAAACAATTAAAAATATAGAGTAGAAAAGAAGATGAGGAAGAAGGAAGAAGGCTATGGGAAAAGAGAGGACTAGGTCATACAACTTTACAATTGATGAAGTCTGTCGTCTTTGGCTGATCGTCAACGAAACGGAGTTAATTATTTTGTCAAGTCTGCTCTTTGCTACGACAGGCAGCCAGTGAAAACGAATTCGTTTAATAAAATTATGGAAATGCAAGCATTACTTTAAACAAACAGAACTTTCTTATTCCTTGCTCATTTTCCTGATTGAGGTTTTTATGAAGGGGCAGAGACTGAACTTTCTAAAAAATGGGTTTCTCTTTGAAATTCAGATACAGTCCGCAAAATGACTTTTTGATTCCTTCACTTCAAATTGATTTTATTCACTCATGCTTAAAATATGCATCATACGAGTTGCATCAAATGAAAGAAGAGGATCTAAGCTCTACAAATATGTGTCATTTGTTATTAAATTATAATTGTGATTAAGTTATGATAAAACATTGATAATTCTCGGTTTCGTTTTTTTCTGGGACGCACTGTATATAACATAACACAAAACAAATTGAAACTCTAAATTCTACAATCCTTTGAAAAGACAATAATTAGCTCAGTGATCGCATCATAGAGGGCAATACAAGACATGAAAGAAATCCATTTTACAACAATAGTAAATGCAACCAAATTTGAACTGCCTGCAGTATAATTATGCTTCTTGGGATTCAGGGTATGAAATTTCAGTATGATATACATGTAGTATTTGTTATTATGAATGTTATTATTAACTTGCATAAAAAATCTCTATGACAAGCTCATTTTCATCTCGACAATTAAACCTTTTGATTTGTTTATACGTAATTTGTTAAAGAATTACCTAAATGACTGCTCCGATGATTTTCTACCGCTATTAATAAACATTTAATTCATATTATGGGAAAGCAAATTCGTAATTACACCGACTTAAAGGGATAGTTGAGTTCTGTTGCAGAGGGCGCTACACAAAATAATTTTTTGTGAGATAATGAAAAACTGAGTGTCAAATTTGAAAGAACATACACTTTAAATAGCAATATCATCTTTGTTTGATCAAAATCGGTTCAGAGACGGCTGAAATATTCACAAATATAACCATTTCTCATAATTTGTGTACCACCACAAATATTCGATAACTTGAAAAAGCCGTTGAAAAAACGAAATAGCGCCTTTTACGTTGTATTTCAGCCAATGCCGATGTTGGCTTTTTTTGTTGGCCTTTTCGTGTTGGTTATATTAAGCCCAACCAGCCGGCCCATGTTAATTAATTAACGGTCACCGTATTTTTGTTGAAAATGAGCTGAATTGGTATGATCGTATTGGCTAAATTTCACACATTTTGGGGTCTAAAATTACCTTCATAGCAATTTTAGGTCCTCAAATGGCACTAGAAATGTCATAGATAAGAATAAGAGCAATAACCCTGTACTTTGAAGGCAATTGCGGTCTGAAAACAGAACTCAACTATCCCTTTAAGTTGTATTCTTTTTATGAAAAGTATATAGGATCAAGGCAAATATGCCTTGCATTTTCCCCAAAACCCCACGGTTTCCTGTTTATGATTATAGCACATTATTAGGCTTGATACCGTTTTTAGACTGATGTATTAATAAGCAAATACATATATGCATAACCAACGTCTATAATCATGATTATGATGTCCTCGTTTCGTTGTATGTTATCAATTAAATATCATGACGAGAAGCGCGTCAAAAATATCTGAACAGCGAAATGATTTCCGATCTTGGTCAACTATTTCGATTGAAGGATTTTTACTTCATCTAATAAAAAATTTTGATGACAAATATTCCGCACTAAATTTGACAATTATCAACATCTATACTATAGTCGTAGTTTTCACAATTAATAACTCACGAACCTCACACTGCAAGGATAACATCCAGATTCTCCATGACAACCCGGGCATGAAGCTGGTTCTACGCAAATTATCGCTGAAGAAAGTGGTCTGCAATATCGAACAAACAACTGTGACATCCCCTCTGCTCACTGAAAAGTGCAATCCTCCATTTGCACTCTGGTTGTTGTTGTTAGGTTTATTGGCGTTCATCATTTTACTTTTCTTCATTTCTATTGCTGTTTAACTTTTTATAATTCCGATATATTTGTAGACATGTTTCCATTTTGTGTGTATTTTGTGTTTTCTATATTGTATATAATCTGTATCTTATATGTTTTTTATGGACTTGAATTGAAATAAAACTTGAACTTGAACTTGAACTTGAACTTGTTATCTCATTGTGGTGTAGACCACAGTGACTGGGAATCCCTTCGAAATGGACCTGGATGCTTTTGTTTTTTAATTGACTATACAGGGTTAGAATTTCAAGAACAAAAGATTCGTCCTTACGAGCTAGTGGCCTAGAGTGAACTCAGGGGGTCGGAAAAATACCGGTGTAGAGACTTGGGAGTTGTAATAACAATATCTTGTTACAGAAATGAGGGAAGGAAAACAAAGACTGAATTAGAAGGGGAGGTATTCTATACAAATATAAGAATTAAAAAAGATTAAAAAGTTATCTCTATTATTTTTCCATACTTTTTCCCTCTACAGAGATTTTGTTGATTTTCATTTGCAACAAATTAACAAACATAAAATATAGCTAGACTAAACTTTAGCTCACAAAGATATTCAATACATAGCGCCCTCTATGTACAATTTGTAGGAAACGTTTTCTATCTTAAATTTGTTAAAACAAGTGCCCGGTGCTGTTCCAGATTATTTTCAGTGATTTCAAACAGGGAAGGCGTTCTAATATCGATATGAAGATTACATCAGCAGGTACTTTCATTTTTTAATTATATTGAAAATGTTGTGTTTGTGTATATTTCAATGGGTATGTCTTATAGCAGTTGGATGGAATTGACGTGAGAAAAGTTTGCTGACTCACCTACATTGCCCTGTCCCACACGTTCATATCTGTGTAGTAAGTTTCATTTGTTTCTCCAAATCTCTGTATGTGGTGCAGCTGCAGGTAGACTAGGCTAGGCAAAATACATATTCACAAAATTGACTTGAAAAAAGTTGAAATCACATCTGACAATTAGTCTGAACCACATCAGGAGCAAATTTGAAGAAATTTTCCTTTTAGTTTTACTGGGCGTAGAGTAAAGGAGGGGGTAATCGACCGTCGACAGTTTTCGGCCGGTCCGTTGGATGCATGGAAAATCCCTTTAGAGTAAAGGAACCGGTTTTCGGCCACTTAAGACAAAATCCTATTTTTTTTTACCCTTTACTTCCTATTTATAATCATTTTTTGTTCAAATCATGAAGCAAATATTATTATTTAAACAAAACAAGAATCCCAGAAAAAAATCACGAATTGCCATGACAATATTCATTTCAATTTTCACTGTTTCGGAGTCAGTTTTCGGCATAGCGTACCAGTTTTCGGCCGCATGTACAAAGTCAATAGGAAGCGCGCGCACGCGCCGTGCGTTTCCGTGCTGATCTATAGCACTAGCGGGCGGAGCAGATATCCCACGCCGGAGCTCCCCGGAGCTCGCCAGGCCGAAAACTAGTACTGCGGTGATCGGATATTGGAATGTGAATTAGACAGAGATATCGTGTGTGCGTTGCGGTGTGCGGCTGCATTGATTTAATACATGCGATGAGATACTTTTGAGCTTGCGACTAGCACAAAATCGGGCTCTAAATCTGAAAAATACTTGAAATAAAGCTCATTTTATGGTACCCATATTTCTTACAGACACGCATAAGATACTCGATTTTTCAGATCCGGGTAGCGGGACCGCCGATTACATCGCTAAAATGTGATATTTTAGGATATATTTTTCATCGCAAATGTGGTTCTTCAGTGACACTGGCATGGTATGGTATGTGTGGGATATGTGTTATGCTATTATGTGATGTATTTTAGAGGGATCTTACCTTGCATCCAACCAATCGGCCTAAAACTGGAGCTGGCCGATTACCGGCTCCTTTACTCTATTTAAAATACATTGCATAATAGCATATCACATATCCCACACATACCATATCATGCCAGAGTCACTGAAGAACCACATTTGCAATGGAAAATATATCCTTAAATATCACATTTTAGTGATGTAATCAGCGGTCCCACTACCCGAATCTGAAAAATTGAATATCTTACGCGTGTCTGACATGTCAGTGTGTTATGTAATATTACGTATTGGCCTTGCCATTGCACTGTTAAGTTGCGCTTAAGTTAAATTCAAAGCCGCTCGAGCCGCTCAGCCAATGAGAGAGCGTTAACTGTGTGCACAGTGCTCAATGCGGAAAGTTCTACTAGAGTAAAGGAGGGAGTTTTCGGCCATTTAACTCATATCCTGCCATAAGGCCGCATGCACGCTATCGCGAATGGAGGCTTCACGCTAGCGAGCCACAGCTTAACTGTTCATTTTTCCTCTTGTTTCTTTGGTTGTACCCCTGACAGGGTTGATATCGATTATCTGAGGCTTTATCAAGTCCATGTGGTGAAAATGTTTTTCCTGTTTGAATTTGAAGCTTGGGACTCACAAAAAATGTCGAGAAATTCAACAAAGATAACTATCTAACCAATCCTCCCCAAACAAATAATAATAATATATTTACATTTGGAAATGAAGTCTATACTCGACCTTCATTCCATAAACATATGGTTTTCAACAGCTAAGCATTGTGTGTACCAGACTCATCAATTTGTCTATATTGCTATCTAAAATTTTAACCAAATTTCAAAATGCATTCTTATTTGTTTCCTTCTAGGAGGGGTGATCTCTCTTCTGGACGAGCCAGACTTTCAGCTCCAGGTAATGTGCTAGAAATTTTTAAACATCAACTTTATGTGTGCCTAGTGCCAAGTAAAGGCTTGTTCAAACAGCTGCAAAAAATGCCTTGATTTTTATTGTGTAAATGAATAGCGACTGTGAGCAACAGAGGACCTTGTCTATTTGATGAGCATTGTGTTATCAGATACAGAAATGTGAAGCGTATGACACTGTAATTAGGTCATTTAAAAAAAAGCCCCAGTCTAAGACCAGGGGGGTGTTTCACAAAGATCCTAAGTCAAACTTAACTCTAAGTTGGACTTTAAAATTATGGAGAGCCATTTGTGGCCTTAGAATAAAATATATTCAAAAGCGAAATTGAAGTATTTTAGACTTTTTATAAATTCCACATCAAGAACATGAAATCTCCTTGAAGATAGAAAATATGAATGATTTGAATCAACATTTTACGCCTTTCAAAATAACTTTTACAAAATATTTTCAAAGTCGCTAACGGCTTTCCATAATTTTTAAGTCCAACTTAGAGTTAAGTTCAACTTAGGATCTTTGTGAAACACCCCCCAGGTATTTGAAAAAGCTTATATGTTTGCAGACACTCGATTGAATTGAGAAAACCTTGGAGACAGAATTAAATACAATTAGTATTTTGTTCGATTTACATGTTTGAAATTTCATATTTCATTGTCAGTTTGGAATTAAAACACCAAATATAAATTTACTTATACATACATATTTACTTATGTGCATATATTGTGTGCGGGTAAGCCTGAATCCAATGACCGGGGTAATAATATATATCTGTAAAGCGCTTTGAGAGGGCCTTCGGTCCTGAAAAGCGCTATATAAGAACGAGCTATTATTATTATACGGTATAAAGAATAAATGAATGACCATTCATGTATCTTGTTAACATTTTTGCAGTGACGAAATTAATGAAGCATTGGATCTAGAGTACTTTAGACAGTTATCAGAAAAGAAAGCTTTGTGGCTGCAAAAGAAATACAATGTAATCTTTCTTTCCGCCCACATTTTCATTTAGTCCTTTGCATTGGAGAGGCTGAACCAACTTGTGGATGACTTCTGGGCAGAGATCGCAGACACAGTTGAAAAGATGTAAGCGTATACAGATGATTCATGCATATGAGTTCAGCACCGTATTTGCCTGCATTATTGGCCGCAGCGCCGTATAGACCGCACCCCCGATTTTGACATTTCGTAGACGGAAGGAAGGAAAGGAAAAAAGGGGGGGGGGGGGGAAGGTGCAACGCTACATGACTACAATTTTAAGGAAAAAAACTTGTTTAAAAGTGTATTTACCTCAAAAATTATTGTAATTTAGCTTCGCCGATATATACCCCTACCTACCACAATGCAATGCAAAATTGCCTGAAATGGATACAAAGAAAAGCAGATGCACAGTTGCGGTGCGCGGTAGCTCCGTTGCGGTCCATACTTTAGCGATGCGCTGGCACGAACTTTGATATAGTTCTACCCGTAGTTTTTGCTTGAAAAATAATTCATGAAGTTTATTCAGGAGATTGACAAAACTTCATGTCAACAATGCAACACATAATTTTCGGTAAGATGTGTGGAGTTATTTTAGAAATTTCCTGTACCATTGTACGTTGACTGGTATAGTCATTGTAGTCCCATATGTAAGCATACATGCTGTTTTGACCGGCGATTCAGTGTTCGAGGTGACCCGATTTTGACTGTTACGCATAGGCCGCACCCAGACTTTTTGATATTTTCTCTTTCGAAAATACTGCTGCCTTTACGCCGGCGAATACGGTATACTATCTATTCATGTTTGTTCCGAGGCTGTTAGCATCTATTGTATGAAGCTGTCGGCTTGAGTACGATAGATGCACATAAAATTATGAGCGAATAATTTCTTGTTATGAGAGAATGAAGGCATCTTACGTTATCAGGTTAGCTTCCCCTGCATTATCCTTCTAAAAGAAGGATCATTTTGCCCGTGAACACGTTACAGCTCTCACAGCCATTATCCAGATAATGGCAGAGAAAGTCAGTTTCTATTATGCAAAATGATGAAGGCTTCAGTCAACAGCCTGGGTTGGGTTCAAACCTATGATCTTTGATTTGACAGGCAGACTCTTTACCGTCTATCTGAACCAAATCATCTCTATATGGCATTGTGTACTTCTAAATTTTGTTGGATATGACTGGAAACTGGTGCACAGTTTTATTTTTAAATGGTGATAGTCTCAGTGCATTTGCCACAACTTTTATTCACACACGATCTTTAAAAACCACATGGACATATTGGCCCGATTATCACCCTATTGATTTGCCAAAGAATACACAATTTCACGTCCCCTACTGATGTTTACACGTTTATGTAATGTACCGGTACATGTAATTTTCATGTACATTACATGTAGTAAAGATTATTAGCAATTTATAAACAAATTGATTATTCAAATCATATTGTAACACCTTGTACCATCATCTCTCTTTTCTCATTGCCTTCCTCTTTCTCTCTTTATTTCTCACTCTTCTCTTTCTCTCTCCCTCTTTCTTGCTGTGCTGTCTCTCTCTCTCTCTCTCTCTCTCTTTCTCTCTCTCTCTCTCTTCCACACAGTGAGATGCTGTATGAAGATGAGTCTTTTCCAGAGAGGGGACTGGCAGCTCTTGTTGCATCAAAGGTATGTTGACCATGTTTTATTTCTTTTCACATAACTTTTACTGGCTGATGAAAGATATATATTGCTCATACTGTTAGAACTACACTGGTACATGTCAAATAATTCACATCATAGTATAGTGAGAAATCTGAATTATGTGGTGAATCTCAGTAGAAAATTTGAAATGTAACTCGCCAATACATAATCTGAAAATCTTTTTTTTGTGTGTGTATTTTTCTTCACTTTTTCCAAACTTGAATATAAGAACAGGCATTTTTGTTTTTGTTCATGTTTTGGTGAGATTTATATTGGTTGGCACTCATTGGTATCAGGAATTAGTATGCGATTACATTTGAGAATCATTTCAGGAAATACAGGATTATTTTCTTGTGCAAATTTAATTCAAGTCTTAACAAGGCTGATATACATGTATGAATCTTCATTATATCTATAACCATTGACGTTATTCCCTTCTGTGACAAATCCTTAGAAAGTCTGTGTTTTGAAATGTTTGTCACGTAGGTCTATTATCATCTTGGTGCCTTCGAGGAGTCCCTGACATATGCTCTAGGAGCGGGAAATCTCTTTAATGTCAACGCAACGGCTGAGTACGAAGAGACAACCATCTGTGAGTCAAATATTTTTGAAAAATATTTACTGCCTTGAGTGACTTGTTTAAAAATACTGCCTACAATAGTGTTGACAAATTGTTCTCTTTATCTTGCTTGTATATTTAGTTTAGCATTTACTTATAATCAATTGGTTTTTGGTTGGTTAAAAAAAAAATTCAGCATGACTTTGAACACATCTGACTGGGGAAAAGACTAGAGGAACTTGACATAAAAGCCTTTTTGTTCTCTTCTGTTTGATATTCAAAGTAGTGATTAATTTACAAGTACCTACCATGAATTAAGTCCACATGCTTTTATTTTTGTAGTGGTTCAAAATTCAGTTCAAGCTTTCTGAATAGGAAAGGGAGCCACAAATCAGTAAATGATATGACTATCCAATTGAAAGCATTTTTTAAAGCTGAACATTTTGGGGAGATATGAATTGGATTGTCTTGGGGGCTAGATTTCAATTGATATGTCAATAACTGAATATGAATCTATTCACCACACAGCTAAGTGCATTGACTTCTATACCAAGCTGCGTGTGCACAACCACGATCACCCAGATGAACCAAAGGCTATCGATTCTCGCCTGGAAGAGATAGTTAATAGGATGTTCCAGCGTTGCTTCGAGCAGCGTCTCTACAAACAAGCCATCGGTATTGCTCTGGAAACCAGGAGGATTGATGTCTTTGAGAAGGCTATCCTTAGTTCAGTGAGTACCTGAATGATGATGGTGATGATGATGATGGTGGTGATGATGATGATGGTGGCAATGATGATGATGATGATGATGTTGGTGATGATGATGGTGTTTAACGATGGTGGCGATGATGATAGTGGTGATGATGATGGTGTTGATGATGATGATGATAGTGGCAATGATGGTGATGATGATGATGTTGGTGATGATGATGGTGGTGGTAATGATGGTGGCTATGATGATAGTGGTGATGATGATGGTGTTGATGATGATGATGATAGTGGCAATGATGGTGATGATGATGATGATGGTGGTGATGATGATGGTGATGATGATGTTGGTGGTGATGATGATGATGGTGGTGGTGGTGATGATAGTGACGACAATGGTGATAAAGATGATGATTATGATAGTGATGATGATAAAGATGATTGATAATGATGGCGATTTTATGTGATGATGACAGTGACATCGATGATGTAGTGATGCACTTTGAAAATAATTAAATTCTAGTAATTTTGTGTGTGGGAGCGAAATGGCATTTTTTGTCACAAAAAAAATCAAAGTGACCAAAACTTTTCACCAAATTAAACTTTCTCAGGTATATTGATCTCAAATTTTGGATATATATGTAACTTATTCACCATCCATCAAATTTCTTTTAATTTGTGTATTTGTCTGCTTTCATTGAGACTTTCGGAGCAATTTTCTATAAAAGTTGGCTTTCTCTTTAACCTTTTTACAGGGCAAGACAGAAGCAGGATGAGAGTTTTATACAGACTTTCCTTAAATTGATTATCATTTGTTCTCATTTCAGGATGATGTGAAGGGAATGTTGAAGTACAGTGTGAACATCGTCATGTCACTACTCCAAGAGAAAACATTCCGAAGCACAGTAAGTATCAAAGCCCATATAAGGTTCATTCACATATGACGTAGTAAACCCCCCAGCTTTAAATTTTTTTTTTTTTAATAAATGTAACTTGTTCTTGTCTTCCATAAGCAGTCTTTGTGTATACAGAGATACCAACCAGCAATATTAAATCGTATTTAGTACATTTTTGTTATTTTTTTATTTTTTTAAAACCCCATAAAAACAGCAGAATCGCATAGAAACATGTACAAGTAAACCCCTGCAACCCCCAAAAAAACTTTGTTTTACAATTTTCTCATTAAATTTTAATGAAAGAGCAAACATTTTACTTGACCGTACTTACCAGAACAACATTTTTCAGAAATTTTTACCAGTGGTAGTGTCGAGTTTTCGTGAAAATCTGATTTTTTAGGATACTCAGTCTGTTTTTTTTTGTGTCAAGAGGTTGGCATATCTGAGTATAGGTCCTTGCTGTACCTACACAATACATCATTTGAAGGGAGATACAGCTCAAATTAGTGAAGTTTTCAATACAATTGCTCATTCTCAGATCTTGCGCATGCTGGTTCGTCTGTACCTCAACTTGGCAACCCCAGACTTCATTAACGTCTGTCAGTGTCTCATCTTCTTAGACGATCCTCCTGCCGTTGCTGATATCCTTGACAAGCTCATCTTGGAAGGAGGGGTAAGGTCGCCATTTTTTTTTTTAGTAGAGAGAGTGAGAGGGAGATGGTACTTTCCCAAAATTTTCTGACAAGCGAAATAAATTTCACATTTTGTCAAAGTAAATTTCCAGAAAAATATGGTATTTTCCCCAAATTCTCTGACAAGCGAAACAAAATAAGTTTTCACATTTTTTAAGAGCTTATTTAAACAACATATGTTGGTACACTCCCAAACTTTCTGACAGGCAATACAAAAGTAAGTTTTTTTGCATTTCGTAAAAGCTAAAAAATTTACTAAAAATATAATGTGTTTTTTTCCCAATATTTTCTGACAAGCGAAATGAAAATATGTTTTTGCTTTTTGCAGTTCCTAATTTAAAAAACGTCTGTGAAAAAGAAGAATTTGTTGATGTACCATATGGGTACATTTGTTATTTATGCACTTGAGGCTTCTTTTAGGGTGTTAGGTGGAAGGGGGGGGCAAGGGCTGGTTTTGGGTCAGTTGTAGTAAGATCTCCACCTGCAGTTGGGAAGGAGTCTGTGATTCTGTAAAAGAAAAAAAAAATAGGGGGGGGGGTACACTTCCAGAAAAAAAATGGGGCTAATTTATTCACGAAAATCTCTGATAGTCCCCATAAAATGCCTTTGGGATGTGAAATTTAAAGAGGGCTCATAAAATTTCAAATTAATTCACTACCAAAATCTCTAGGAGGGGGAAAGCTTATCACATGATTTTCAGCTGTTAATTTACTCACAAAATTCTCTGATAAAGCCAAATTGTTTAAGTACCTTTTGGGTCTCAGATTGAAAAAGAGGGCATATGGAACTTCAAACTTTATTCCAAAAATTTCTAGGGAAAAACGTTTATTACAGGTGCTAATTTACTCCGAAAAATCTGACAAGCAAGCTTTTTTATGCCTCCATTACGAAGTAGCCGGAGGCATTGGCCCGAATTCACAAAGCAAGGTTTGAGCTCAGACCAAGGTTTGAGCTCAAACCTCCTTTTGTTTCGCCAAACCTCCTTTTGTTATTTACAAACCTGGTTTGTAAATAACAAAGGGAGGTTTGGCGAAACAAAAGGAGGTTTGAGCTCAAACCTTGGTCTGAGCTCAAACCTTGCTTTGTGAATTCGGGCCATTATGTTTTCGGGTTGTCCGTCCGTCCGTACGTCCCATTCTCGTGATCGTGTTATCTGAAGAACCGATTGATGGATTCCTGCCAAACTTTGGTCATGTATGTATCTTGCAGGGCTGATGAACTGATTAGATGTTGGGGTCACGAGGTCAAAGGTCAAAGGTCACAGGGCTCATTATGTATGCAAAAATAGCTTGTGATCGCATTATCATTAGAACAGATTGATGGATTCCTGCCAAACTTAGATCATGTATGTATCTTGCAGAGCCAATGAACTGAGTAGATTCTTGGGTCATGAGGTCAAAGGTCATGGGCTCATTATGTATGCAAAAATAGCTTGTGAACGCATTCTCATTAGAACTGACATATGGATTACTATTTAACTCAGGACATCTTGCAGAGCCAATGAACTGAGTAGATTTTAGGGTCATGAGGTCAAAGATCAAAGGGTCATATATGTATATGAGAAATTGCTTGTAATCCCAATATTCTGAGAACCTGTTAATGGATTACAATTGAACTTGAATTTGAAAAATTTCTTTTGTTTTGGTTTGTAAAATTGCTCTATGATGGAGGCATCAAAGTTCCATCTAGTCACATATCTTTTTGGTTTGAAATCTAAAAGGGGAGCTGCAATAACTTTTGACTTTCAAACTCTTCAAATGCATATGTGGTTTCTCTTTATAGGACCAACCTCTAATGGCGTTCCAGATTGGATTTGACCTGTACGAGAGTGCTACACAACACTTCCTTTCCCGCGTCCAAGCTTCACTCAAGACTGTGGGCACACCCAGTACAGATAGCACCCCAGCTCCTGCAACCACACCAGCAGAAGGAGAGAAGAAGGAAGGGTAAGCCAACAAGAAAGAAGGATCAAGCAATGGATTGATGGATAGTTAGATAACACTACATATATTCCTTAGAACATAGAATAATAATACAAGAACAGAATTTGGAAGAGCCAGGTTATTCCTTATGTTATCTATTGTTTTGATAATTTTGTATGTATTTCTTTGTTATTTTTAACTCATACCTTTTATTTTTTTTATTGTTTTTATTTCACTTCTAACTATAATTCAATTATGCATACCCCAGCTGAAAAGTAGAAAGAACAATGCATAGATGAGATCAGTGATAGATACAAAACTGATTGATCAATGAACATGTGCAGACAAAATACTGTATTGTTTATATCTAGTAGTGGTGGTGGCTATTTTACCTGACTGCTAAGATTAAGAAAGCATAAATGCTTGTTAGTAAGCAACCAGAGGTCCTCTCTGAGAGACCTGAGGATTAATGCCTTACCTAAGGGCACTTGTGCATTGCCTTGGTTTTGAATCCGGGTCGCCGGGTTTTGAGACCACTGCTCTACCGACTGAGCTATCGCTTCTCCTCATTTTTCTATTTTCAGTGAAGCCATGGAAACAGATGTTGACAAAGCAGAGAAGATCGAAGCCCTTTCATCTCAAGCTCCTGTACCTGATGAACAGGTACGCTTCCAATTTAACCCAATATAGCCCGGGGAAGGGGGGGGGGGGGGCTTCTAAGCTCCTTCTCCCCCCCCCCCCCCCCCCCAAGATTTTTGTTAACATCTGTTTAAAAACACATCAAAAGATATACAAACAAACTGTTTGAATTCAACAATATAAATATAAAAACATTCATTGACTTTGAAAGAAGGATGAAGGGTGGTGGATCAACAAAGGCCATGCCTGTCAAGGCTGATTCCCTATATAACCACCCTTCAAGACAACAATGAAACAGACAGATTATATAACGTAGCATAATCACATAAAAACACAACATAACTATTTTCATAAATCACATAAAATGCAATTAGATCAAATATAACTACTCACTATTAAGAAGATAAGATTTATATATTTTATTTTACTTCTACAGTTATCCCCAGAGGAGAAGGAGCACAGAGATCAACTGAACAAGCTGACTCAGATTCTTAGCGGTAACCTCACCATAGCCCTTCATCTACAGTTCTTGATACGAAGCAACAAGACCGATATGCTTATCCTCAAAAACACCAAGGTCAGTGGAGCGCCCTTTTAGTTTTTGATTTTCCGTAGAAACTGTACCAGTTCTATCGGTAAACATCTTCCATGGCTGTAAGTGTCACGATGGAAGTAATATCTATTTCCATTAAATTTACCATTGCTCTTAATCTATATTTCTTGATATGTAGCAACAGGGTCAATATTCTTTTCCTCGAAAACACTAAGGTCAGCTAGGTGCCGTTTGATTTTCCTATAAAATTTTATTGAAAAATGGGGCATAAGATGACTTCCATGGCTGCAAAGTTCATGCTGGAGCGAACAGTTTCTGTTTCTGAAAGAGAAGGGGATTAAACAAATCTTGTTCCCTCAAAACTTGTTCTCATAAGCTGCGCTAAATTGCCACAGTTTATCTTGGCGGTTGTTTTGTGCACTGAATGCAAAGGAAGTGAGAATAATGAAGCAAGTGGATGCGCACAACCACAATGGTCCCACACATACTTAATTATCTGTTTGTTATGAGATACAAAAGTGAAGTGTAGTAAGCGTAAGTTCGCTTAAAGGTATAGAGCAGTTCTGGTCATGCGATTGCATTGTGAAAGAAATGTTGTGGAATCGATCAGAAAAGGTTGATCATCTAGCATATAAGTATTGATGTGTACTGCAAAGTTCTGAAATCATCAAAATGATAAGAAATTTGACCCAGTCTTGGTAAAGTTACAAGCACTGTACAGAAAGGTGTATATGGGACTGCCCTATATCTATCCAGTCCGGATATATATAATAATTTACCAAATATATCAATTAGTAGGCAGTTTCCCAGCAAAATTTGTATCATCACGTATTAGTCATAACACATTCTTTCACATGATTGGTAATAAGAGCTTCCATTTCATTGTTTGAGAGGAGGGCAGTTTCCAAAATGGTATTTACCTTTAAACAACGGCACATATGAACAAGCCTATATACATGTACATGTACAGCAATTAATCATAGATTGCAATGGAATTCCCCATAGACAAGAAAATTGCAATGTAACGTCATGATTCTTGTATTACAGAGAAAAGGGTGCCTGACATCAGTTCCAACATTCTTCTTTTGATAATATTAATGGCTGTATTTTGAAATGGTCAAATCCTGTGAATACTGATGAAAGTAAAGGAAATGTTGTGTTATCAATGCCTTTGTACATGTTCCTGTACATCCCACAATATTGTATTTGCTTTTCACTTTATTATATTTGTCCAGGAATCTGTGAGGAATTCAGTGTGTCACAATGCAACAGTCATCGCTAACTCTTTCATGCATTGTGGTACAACAAGTGATGCTTTCCTCAGGTAATTATTGCCTCACCAATTCTCCAGTCTTCTTTTGTTTTTCCCTATACCATATTAAAATTAATTATCACATGTAAATAAAGACTTTCAAAACCTTTGATAGCCAAGTTGAGGAAAATATTACACTATAGGAAATGCAGGTTCATCTAACCTTTTTTAATTGCTTTATTTAACCCTATTTTAACTGGGCTATTTCAGACCAGGTTTTTACTGGGGGGGGGGGGGGGGGGGGGGGGGGGGGGGGGGGGGGGGGGGGGGTCAATTTGACCCCCCCCCCCCCCCCCCCCCCCTAAGATCTCGGCCGTTTCACCGCCGATCGCCGCGAAAATTTGCATGCACGTCAAGTGAAGTGTATAGAATACTATGGTAATTTCAAAAATTCACTCATTTGCATATTTATGGTAATTTATGCAAATAAGGTCATCAAATTCACATTTCTGCCCATAAATCATAGATTATTCATGTTTTAAGTATTCTTTTTCACTACATATATTTATTACACCATTTGGAATAATAAAACAACACAAAAAATTGGAAGAGCCAGGTTATTCCTTATGTTATCTCTTGTTTTTATAATTTCTTATGTATTTCATTGTTTTTTTAACTTATGTATTTTATTGTTTTTGTTGTTTTATTTCATTTATAACTAAAATTCAACTATTTTGACCCCAAAACAAACATCTTAACTTTAAACAAGACTGAATAACCAATGTTTTATCTATTTTTAGGAAAAATGACTTTTACATATGTTTTGTACACAAATCACGAAAATGAGCGATTTTCAGCTGACATGCAAAGACTAAAGGTCACGTGACCTTGTAACCGTAGATCCGATTTTCGAAAAAATTGTTTTAAAAGATGCGTAAGACTCGAAAGTAAAAAGTCATGAAAGGAAAATTTTATATCTGCCGCGGTTTCGGAGTAGTCGCAAAATTTCTACAGGGGGGGGTCAAATTGACCCCCCTCCCCCCCAGTTAACATAGGGTTAAACAAAATTGTCTTCTACTTGTATTTGTGGAGAACTTTCATAAACTTTCCAAAAATAACTTACTTTAAATTGAAGCAGAAAAATCAGACAAACCAATCAAACAAAGTTTGAGCAAAATAGGACAACTAATAAGAAAGTTATGAACTTTTAATGATATGAAAACTTTTATGAACAGCCTTGCTCAAAATTTTCTGAATTTGTCTCAGTGCAACTGGGTAAACTTATCAATTTAGGAATCTCTTCCAATTACACATTAATAACGTTTTATTCACAACTGTAGAGACAACCTTGAATGGCTTGCTAGAGCCACCAACTGGGCCAAGTTCACTGCCACAGCCAGTCTAGGGGTCATCCATAGAGGTCATGAGAAGGAGGCCCTCAACCTGATGTCGACGTACCTCCCTAAAGATTCGACGGGCGGGAGCACGTACCAGGATGGGGGCGGTCTCTATGCCCTTGGTCTGATTCATGCCAATCACGGAGGAAATATCATTGAGTACTTGCTCGGTCAGTTGAAAGAGGCTACGTCAGAGGTATGTGAAATAATTGGTGGTGGTGATGATGGTGGTACTTGTTGTGTCAAGATGGAGGTGGTGGTCATGTTGCTGATGGCGATGGTGGTGGTAGTGGTGCCAGCATAGTGACGACACTAACAACTACACGTATGACAGGATTAGGGATTGTGATGGTGCTCATGTAATCTGAAAATGAGGGTTGGTAAATGGAGATGAAGATGATGATGATGATGATGATTATGTACTTCAGTGAGTCCATGAACTGGTAAGGCCGAAGTAAGTTTTTTAACTATAAAATGTGAATGAAAGATGATAATGGTGATGATGATGAGCCTAATAATACATGTAATTGAGATTGAGAAAGATGTGGGGAAGATCGTAACTGGTTCTGGAAGTTTGCTAAGGAAGGATGATACTGACTTTTGAACAATAGTTGTAGTGGGTACAAAATACATGTACAGTCACCAAGACAAGACATAATCAAATTATTGCATCTTTATCTAAGATTTACAAAGGACTACTTTTGGATAACTATCAACTGTTTGTTTCAATTCTTTCTCCCCCCCCCCCCCTCCTTCCTCAGATGGTGCGGCATGGAGGTTGTTTAGGTCTAGGTCTTGCTGCCATGGGAACAGCAAGACAAGATGTGTATGAACAGCTCAAGTGCAATCTCTATGAAGACGATGCAGTCACAGGTAATCTATCTCTCCAATTCTCTTTCTCTCACACACTCTCTATCACGCTCTCTCTCTCCATCTCTTTCTCGCTCTCTAACTCTCTCTTAACATCATATCCTGACTTCCCCAGTGTATTTTTTTTAAATTCCATTAAAAAAAATTGTTAAATCTGATCTTTTGCTATTGTCATAAATCAGTTGATCAAATAATGCCCATTTTGTGTAAACTTAACCATTAAAAATCCTTATTTTGAGGCCTCTGGATACCCTTTCCTAAATGCCTGAAAAGGTCAAAACCCATGAGCTTGCAGCCCCCCCCCCCCCCCCCCCCCCCCCCCCCCCCCCCGGACCATGATCCATGTATTTACTTAATTGATTGATTGATTAATTCATTCTTTGTTCATTGCATACCGTAGGTGAGGCTGCTGGTCTAGGCATGGGTCTAGTCATGGTCGGTACCAAGTCAGCTCAAGCCATTGAGGACATGGTCAGCGTAAGTATCCCGAATCCCAACAAATACAGTCAAACCTGTCTTGGAGGCCACCTCTATATAAAGGCCAGCTGTCTATAGTGGCCACCCCCCCCCCCCTAGAAGGAAACATGCTTTGTAGAACCTGTCTATAATTCCCACCTGTGTATAGTGGCCTCTTTTTGTGTTCCCCTTGAATGGCCTTGATAGACAGGTTTGACTGTATTTTTGCTGTCCTGAAGTTGCAATTTACAAAAGCTTTCCAAATATACTGACATATTTTTATGTCCATTTGATCTGATTACATTGAGTGTTAATTTAGGAAAAATACACTGCAAAGTGGCAGAGCCATATACAGTGGCACCTCGGACCAAGGAAATTCCCTTTTTTATGTTGAACCTTGATATATCATTAAACTTTAACAAACAACACCAACAGCAATGAAAGTACTAAGACACGTAGTCTTTGAACTGGTAAAATTCCTTAATATTACATGAGTTTGCTGTTACAGTGTTCTTTAAATAAAGGTCCCATTGTAATAAGATTTACAACTAGTGTATCAATTGGACTAAATGATAATGATAAAGTCAGGACTTTTTGTATATATAACCTTATTTGGGGATTTAACACTTTTAAGCATTTGAATTCTAAGCTAGAGGTAAAATAGATCAGGTCTATAGAAAATATTTGTTTAGTAATCAAATTACATCTAACAAGTAGACCCTCGTGTAATCTGGAATTTTCCTGGCAACAAGGAGATGTAGCAGCATAGAGTTGCAGCCTATTGTAAAGAAAACACAATAAGCCAATACATGTATTATTTCTCTTTTGTTTTGCAGTATGCTCAAGACACACAGCACGAGAAGATCCTGCGTGGCCTTTGTCTTGGAATTGCTCTGGTGAGTGCAAACCCTCATCTATCCTACAGGAAAAAAATCTTGTGTCAAGATTCAAAACTGATGTACTGTATGTCATACTGGTTTCTGGGCAATACTTTCTTCACCCTCTGCCCATATTGAGTGAAATTTCGGTTTTCCGCATCCAAAGCGGTTAATATGAGAAGATCAAAGCAGATTTAAGGATTGAAAAGTATGCACTGACATATATTTTTCACTTGTTGATACCCTTCTCTTGGAGAATTTTCCTTGGTATTATCTTTTTGTGATATTCCCTAAGCTTGGTACTGGCACCAAAAGTTTTATACACTGGTGAATACCCTGCATACAAACATATCAAGTGTGGATGTAATGAGGCACCTCTTTCCAATGCAATTTGTTGGTTATGTATTTGATGGAATCCAGAAGAACTCAACTCAATTCATGTTAATTAAAAAGAAACAACCAGAAGAAGAAATCTGTTTTATCCGTTTTTGATCTATATTTTTACCATTTACATATTAACATCAAGAATTTCCATTGTTAAAAGTATGGAGAGTAAAGATGAATCTTATGAACCTTATTTAATTGCACTGCTTCTGACTTGCCCATTAGACTATGTACGGTCGCCTTGAAGAGGCCGATACTCTGATCGAGAGTCTGAGCCGAGACAAGGACCCCATCTTAAGACGGTCCGGGATGTACACCGTTGCCCTTGCCTATTGCGGCACCGGCAACAACAAGGCCATCAGGAAGCTTCTCCACTTCGCGGTCAGCGATGTCGATGATGATGTCCGCAGGGCCGCCGTCACCTCCCTCGGTTTCTTACTCTTCAGGTGAGTGGGTGTTGGCGTTGTAATATGTGCTCTTAACCCACTACCTACAGGAACCGGGTAGCTCATGTATAAAGGCTATGTGAATGAGAGAAATCGGGGGTCAGTGGGTTGACCCCTCCCTGCTGTGCCATAGGTGACAAATCCTGTCCAAAATTTGTCAGGTTCAAACTATATGTGTGAACTAAGAATGTCTTCTTTCTTTTTTTCCCAGAAACAAAACATGTACCTGCATGAATAAGTTAATTCCCACAGTAGATATTTTTTGCTCAATGTATTAACCCCTGGGCTTTTGAATGCACTCAATTTCTTAGAATTGTAGTACAAAGGAACTTCAACCTTTCCAAAGGCAGTGTGTCGTTAAAAAAAATGAGCATCTGTCTCAATTTTACTCATGCAAATGTTTGAACAATGTTTGCTCGAAGAAAATGTTGCTAGCACAGAAGAGGGGTTAACCTAATCTTACCACCAAATATTCTCTGTCAGTACATGCTTAAAACCTCTGTGTACAGTTGTACGTGTGTGTGTGTGTTTATGTTTGCTGTTGGGGTTTTTTAAGTACAGGAATATATCCATCTGATGTTATTATTTCATTTTTTGAGACTGAATTTTAATGTCATTATTTAGAGGATGTGCGCAACTTAGTATCAAATTCTAGAATGTTGTATCCATGCAAACTATAAAGCCAACAACGAGACCGACTGATATCTCATTAAGTGACTATGGCCCCGTCTCTTGAAGAGTTTGATTCAAAGTAACTCAAATCACCTATTGTTTGATATCAAACACATCTCCTAACAGTTGAAGGCATAGCCTACTGTTACTTTTAGAATCCCTGCTTGTAATTTTTATTATGCAGTAGTGTTCATTTGAATATTCATTATATACCTCACTTTAGAAATCTAGCCATCTGATTTTGTCGAAATTGGAGTCGTGATTTTTAGCCATGCCGCCTACCAGTCAATAGTCTTTTAAAAAATGCCCTCATGCTGCGATCCCTATGGTTTACATGTTAAAATTGTCTTAGTGCGGACACCATACAGTGCTTTTTGTCTGCAATTCGCAGATGATTGAAACTTTCAGTCATTTTCCAGCGAAGATTAACAGACTGTGTCTCTGATTTTCCGTCATGTTTAACCAATCTTTACTCAATAAAAGGATAAGATAATTCTTGGTAGATTTTTGTTTCAGTTCGGCATATAAAAGACATATCGACTGCTTTAATATTCAAAGTCTGGCTCTCAAGGCAGTCGATATCTATAATATTCACCTGAGAGTTACATTGTGGCTACATCCGGATTTAGACTGTGATCAATTGAGACGAAGAGGACCTCTTTATAATACAGAGCCTTGAAATCACAGAGATTATGATGATGATAATGATTAGTACTATGATTGTGATGATGGTAATGAAGATGATGACAAATGATTACGAAAATATGGGATGTCTTGTACTTTAAGTGATTTCTTGCAATGCCCCAGGTCATTATGTTCTTCTGTAGATTTTCGTTCTGTATGCAGATCAAACATAAAAAATGAACAGTTTTTTTTTTCTTCTTTCCATTTCATTTAATACTTAAAACACAGATTATCATTTCATTATCAGAAAACGATGAACGATGAAATATACTGATATTTTGAATATAATGGTAGTTTTGCGTATATTTGGCCTCTTCTATTTATTTACCGATATTCTATATCTTTAGGCTATGTAACGTACATGTATAGTATATAGGTACATGTGCCTACAACTTGAACTCTTTTTCAAACAAAACCTCTTTAATATCATTGTACATGTATGTGTGGTTTCATATAAATAAATAATTTATATAGATGCATTTTGAATCCTTCAATGAACTTCACTCTAGAGAATTAGTATTGAACACTCAACAATTACATTCAATCATAATCAACGAAAGAACTTTGACATGTAGATAAATGCACATTTTACCAAGACAAATCCTCTTATGAAATCAAATATTTAGTATCAATGATAATTCTTGCATTTACTGTAAAGTAATTTGGTCAACTTATTTTTTATTTCTACGACTTGCAAACAAAGTGATGTTCATACACATGCATCCTGTAACCAATAGTAAGAGTGATGTTCATACACATGCATCCTGTAACCAATAGTAAAAAATGATTTGCATTGGTCATTAAAAACTAAAAATCTACCAATATAATTTAAAAAAAAATATTTTGAGATGCATTTATTTTTTCATATCTATCAAATATATTAATTTATGACTTATAATATATTATTTATATATTTATTTATAACAATTTTGAAATGTTATACAAAAATGTCCCCAAAATTGCATTTTAAAGTTTTTCTTGAGTGACTCCCACATTAGGCTATTCTTTCTGCACTTCTTTTTCCTTCAAATATTGCTTCAATGTGGTTAGTAACTTCAGTTAAAGGTAAAGACCAGTATTGGAAACGCCCCAATTTCAAAAAATGAAATGGAAGCTCTCATTACCAATCATGTGAAAGAATATGTTTTGACTAATACATGATGATAAAAAATTTGCCGGGAAACCGCCTACTAATTCATATATTTGGTAAATTTGTTTCTCTCATGGTCTGTGAGATATAGAGTAGTCCCATATACATCTTTCTGTGTATAGTGCTTGTAACTTTACGAAGAATGGGCCAAATTTCTTATCATTTTGATGATTCCAGAACCTTGCAGATGCTAGATGCTAGATGATCGACCTTTTCTGATCAATTCCATAACGTTTCTTTCACAATGCAATTGCATGACCAGAACTGGTCTTTACATTTAACCCATTGCATACTGGGACAGAGTGGTTCTTAGGGAATATGAGAATTCAGTAGTCAATGTGTTAATACGGGAAAGAATATCTATTTTTACCCTTTTCCATACACGTGGGTACAAAACTGTATTGTCCTAAAGACAGTTTAATTGAATCACTTGAAAGTGAAAGTCTTTTATGTGGTAAAATGTCAGGAATAAATCTAAGTTTTTATGACAAATTATCATCGTTTAGTAAGAGAAAAGAAATATCAATAAGAATAATGAATTCTTTTCTTTTTGCAGTGCAGTACAGAATAGGTTAACAAATAGATACAGGTACCATCTGGGCTAGAGGGGTAATGTTTTAGGAGCTTCATACCATTAATTACCACCGATTGATCATCACCGATTTATCACCCAGCTTCCCATAACTTTTAGTGGACCAATAGTCCAACATGTGGATTTTCAGGAGTTAAACAGTATCTTTTTATCCGTCGTCACCTCAGTTCCCTTTTTAGTCAGCTATTACATACTATACATCTCACATACTTAATTATTACACGTATGCTGCAGTGTCTAGATGATAATTTGTTTCATGAAGCACAAGGAGTTGTAGCAATAAATATTTCTTTTCACACCATATCGTATTCTTTCTATTGATATCTACATGAACAAGAGCATCTTAAAACTATAGGGGTTCTGTTTAACGACCATGTATCCCATTTCCACCCTTTTTTTTCTAGCAAAAATACCTAATATTTCAGTGTCAAACTTTTTAGCACTAGTCAGAAAAGCATAGATATGATATGATATGTTTACAAAGATTATCGTCATATCACTGGGATGCCTCTGGCAATGACCAAAGAGTGTTACCATTGCGATTCATGCTGCCATCGTAGGCAACAAACTTACGCCGCATAGGGATGCTCCTGTCTGGACCCCTTTCTCTACCCCTCTCAGAGATTTTAAAGGGATTTCTCTTTGGGAGGGTGTAATACCTATTGCATGATAAGAGCCCGATGAAAGCTTGTCTGAATCGGACGTTGAAGGCTGTATAGATGAATGGATTCACCATGCTGGACCCCCAGCCAATCCATGTGCAGATTGTAAACACGGTTGCATCAAGGGCACAACTGGGACAGAGCGCGCCGATGATATTTGCCACAAAGAACGGCGTCCAACCCACCACAAAGGTAGTAAAGACCAGTCCGAGTACCTTGCTGGCTCGTTGCTCAGTGCTGAGCCGTTTCATACCACTCCGGCCTTGGTGCGACATAGTTCGTCTAAGGCTGAGATGAGTTGCATTTGGCTTAAGACCACTGTTGTCGCTATTGATTGATGAGAGAGATGATTGAGACAGTCGGCACTCTTTTGGGGTTGGCAAGCTTTCAATGCTTGAGGTATCGCACTTGGTGTCTTTGACAGGCTCAAAGCCATTCCTCTTTGCCATCTGCAGAACGAACCTTGGATAGGTCTTCTGTTTGTCTTTGTTGTGGATCATGTCGCTAGTCTCTCCCTCCTTGCAGAGTTTCATCTTCTTGTAAAGAGTATAAGTTGTTAGGCAGTACGTGATGATGACGATGCACAGTGGGATGAAGAATGCTACGACCGATCCATAGATCATAAAGTGGATGTTGGTTACTGCACATTGGCCATTGTTGAGGACCGTTGCAGGTTGCAAGAAGCCCATGATGCAAAGAGGACTGGACAGTCCCGCTGCACAGGCCCAGACGATGCAGATCTTGATGATGATACCACGTCTTGTTCTTGGTTGGCGTTTGTTGCGCAGTGGGTCGCTGATCGCCAGGTAGCGGTCGATACTGATGGTACACATGTGCAGTATGGACGATGTGCAGCAGAAGACGTCCATGGTGGTCCAGATATCGCACATACTAAGGCCCATTGACCAGTGTCCTGAAAGGCAAAGATAATTAATGTTTAAATAAAGATAAAATAAAGATAAATAATAGCCTAATAATAGCCTAATAGTCCACTCCAAATTTTATTAAACCGAAACGAAATTTATAGATGTAGGAAATCCAGCTCAAATATTTAGGATGTTTCTTTTCAATAACTAGCAAATCTTTTGCAAGACCTGTTACATTTTGATCTGCATGCAATGCCCATTCTTGTGAATATTTTCATTATCTCTCTCAAGTAAAACATCCTCCTCACTACAGTACAACTGTCCAGGGACCTGTTTCACAAAACCTTTTTTCAATGACAAATGACAAAAATCAGTTAAAATTTGCTGATAAGCAATCAGAAGCAAGGATTTCAGTAGCTTATAACGAAAACTGTCATTTGTCACTGATGACAAGTTTTATAAAACATCCTCCCAGGATGTACTTGTAGGATATCTTACCTAGTAGGTCTTTTGTAAGTCCAAATGGCATGACGAGCAGCGCCACCAAGAGGTCGGCAATGGCCATGGAGAAGAGGAAAAGATTGGTCAGGTTGTGTAGCCTGCGATCCCTGCTAATGGCCAAGCACACCAGGAGGTTTCCAATGATGGTGCAAAGGATGATAGGTATCAGAAGCAATACAGGCCAGCTGAGGCCACCATCGGATACAACATCATTGTTGTTGTAGTCTGTTTCTGTGTTTAACGGCAGTGCTGTGTTGTTGTTGTTGGTGAGGTAGTTGTTAAGTATAGCCTCGGTAGGATGTAGGGTTGATGTCCAGGTAGTTGCCATGGTTACCTTCATCACCAGTGTGGCAACCTGGAGAGGATCATCTCAGATAGGCCTCCAAGTGTCCTTCAATATTGTTGATGGGTGTCCTATTAAAAGAGAATGAAAACAACCAACCATTAGCGAGAATATAATTCACACTGACTAGACAATGGAGATTCATGGTTACATGTATATATTTTTCTACCAGCATATTTGCGTGTGGGTGTTAGAATGCTAAGAAATTAATAGAGATGTCCATTTTCTATGGAGAGCTTTTTTTTAAGGCAGTAAGGACTGAAAGACAACTTAGTAAACATTTGCTGGTTTTAAATAGACATATGATATTAATGCATTGTCAAGTAAAACAATAATAATTTTTTTAAAAAATGGGTGGGGGGGGGGGGGACATGTCTCCCTGTTCCCCTGTTCCCCTGTTGAAACCCTTGCTCAGCAGCCTCAGCTTGCTAATAACTAGTTAATAATTTACAGTCCGATTAGCCAGTTGTCGTAGGATAATGTGGTTTATGACATACAGTAGAGTAGTAATACAAGTAGAAATAATTACAGTCCCTTAGGCATAGTGAAGGTGTCTTGATGAGAGGCGTGAATGCCTTTTTTAAGGTTTGATTTAAGATGACCAGTAGGTATCATACGTACAAGGACACAGCGTAACGAGCGGAAACCAATGACTTGGCCGGAAAGGTTGTTTACATAGCAACCATGTCACCACTAACATTCTGTTTTTCTTTTGTTACAATCATGTTAAAGATACTATGTCCCTTTTGCAGCCAACATCAAATTCTGTAGAACTTTGCACTCTTTTGCAGGAATTATGAATAAGTCAGGTATGTCCTATCTGAGAAATTTAAACGTTAGCAGTGTCCTAGTATTTAAATTATGCAAGGAAATCTGTTTACTTTCTAGACTTCACTGCCACACACTATTGGGTGACTGACTGACATCTTTTTTTCTTTGGTAATTACATACATAACTGAGCTGTATCATTTGGATAATTCCATGACTTCACAGTATAACACCAGTACTTAGTGCTACATGATTAACCTTTTCTAACGCTTCTCACAGTTTCTGTCACAATGCAGTTGTATGACCAGAACTCTGCTTTATCTTTAAGTGGGGAAAAGTGGATGTTATTGAAACCTCTCTTAGGGGTCTTCTCTCTCACAATTACAGGGTGTCGTATTCCCAAAGGATGGCAACAAAAAAGAGTAAATGGTGGGTTACGAACATGGTCAGCTTTTTAAATTTATCCCTGACCATCCCTTCTTTACAAGGCTGCAGTCTTTAAAACAACAAAAAGAAGGTGAAAAAAAGGGGGCCTCAAATTCAATATTGTTTAATGCAGTCATTTTTATGACATGGTTGTGTTCATTTTTCACCAGTCTCTCGCAAAAAGGGTCAAAAATGGTCATTCCAAAGTGTACCTTTTTTATCAGTTGTACATGTGTACTTTTGAAGAGTCAACTTAAGTACAATGATACTCCATGCTACTGCCTGCACATTTCAAAAGGTGATGTAACTAGGGTAATGACATATTTATATTGTTTTAAAAGTAGAACTTTGTGACCGACTTCAGGCTGTCTTGAGACTTTCTGAAGTCAAAGGAACACAGTGATTTCTACAGATAATGAATGCACACCGAATTATCATGATTATTCTAGAAATGCAAGTGATACAGATAGACTTTCCTTGTGCGTCTTTGCTTCTCAAACACACATGTACAGTATTCAGATACCAGCAAACCCATTAGAACTCAATTTATACTTTCTGAGGGCTCTAAGGCTTTTGAATAAAAAGACTCAAGTATGCTGTTCACTATGGAAAAGACTGAGAATGAAAGAGAGAAAGAATGAGAGAGGGGGAAAGAGAGATAGAGATAACACAGACTAGTGGTAAACAAAATCAGGCTTTGTAAAACCTTTGAGCTGAAATGCTAATTTATAAAGATCCTTTACAATGCTTGTCAAAGGTTTGTACTTTGATAATACTCCAGACTAACTACAGCTTTAATACATGTATACGTATTTATGGAATTGAGTATAAATCAGTTTTCTAAATAGTCATTGTGCAGTGGCAGATAGGAATTTTTAAAGGGGGCAAGTTCTCTTCTTTGTTTAGACCAAGCTTAAGCTTTAACTCTATTTACTTATAATGGGAGAGAGCCGACATTATTTGAACACATCTACTACATGTAGATTAGAAGAGTCATTGAAAATGTAAAGCACTCTACAGAATGTGTATACAGTGTATCTGATTTCACCATGTAAGTCAAAGTATTTTGTTTTTCCTGTAGGTTGTAAAGGGATCTACACTTTTACTTCTAAGCCTTCCAATTGGTATAAAACTACATACCACACATACATGTACATGTAGTCTATCTCCATTTGGTTCATGCACAAATTTAATTTGACATTGCTCTGTGATACATCTGACTCTTGTACTTATGTTAATATAAATATAGTTATTTCATATTTATCATACTGACTTTAGTATGCTTTATTTAGGGAGGGGGGCATTTACTCTAAAGAGCCATTTGTGTGCAAGCCTGCTGTCTTCTTCTAGAACTATAAGGTCTAAACGTACCATATATTGTCTAACTTGATTTGGGCCATGCACAAAGTAAGATAGATGTGACTAAGTAGTACATGTATAAGGCTTCTTCAGACCTATATACAGTATCATGCTAGAGGTTGGGACTCCCCTGGGATTATCAAATCAGAGACGAGGAATCATTGTCCCAGCTTAACAAAGTAACAGAGTAATTAACTTTAATAGTTCGCCTTGGATGATTTATTATTTCAAACAAACAAACACGCATACTCAACATGTATGTTAATTACACTAATGTTGACATATACACTGCATAAAATGAACCTCTATTCAGACAGAAAACATTTCTATATTAAGAGGCCTGTCTTCAACAGCTCGAGTCTGCCAAATAATCCTGAGAAATCTTGGTCTTGTTACCAAAATATCCTGCCATTTGGGAAAGAGCAGACTAATTTGGGCCTGTCCGAGCTAGTTTGTGATGAGCGTACCTGTCTGGTGAAGACGCAATTTTGAGCTTCGGGGTACATGTAGTATCCCAAGTCTGAAAAAGGCGGGTTATTTGGCAAACTGGAGCTGATGAAGACAGGCCTGAGGTGTTAGAAGAAAAACCCTGTTCTTGCCTGTTTAATGTCGAGTGGCAGTTACACTGACAGGTCTACTCTTATTGCAAGTCTTCTGTTTTTCTTTAAAATTGCTGGTACTTGTAGCGAGTACTTGTTACCCTACATGTACCTTCCGATATCATATACACTGTGGCTAGTACTTTTACCCTGTGTTCGAATAGTCTACCAAAATTTATCATATAGCTACATGTGTATGTGTATGTGTCGTTTATACAAGTATTGTGTAGCTATAGATATTTTAAGTATTTCCTTCTTCCTAGTCTTGGCAATAAAGAAACGTCACGTGACGAAACATTTTCTATACTATAATTCTTTATACAGTCAAACCTTTCTATAAAGATCACTCAACCGAAACTGGGCTTTCATAACACAAAGATACACTGTATAGTGGGGTAGCTTAGTGAAAAAATCGTGACACGGTGGACAAAAGCATGATTTTTTCACCAAATTATCTTCACGATGTACCTTCTTAAAAAAGGCTATGCTCCAAGAAAATTGATGCTGGAAAGGTGGTGAAAATGACGTCATTATGACATCATCATTTATTCATTACATAATCACAGGAAAACCCCAAAAATAAAGCAACCGTGGTCCTACTTCTATAGTTTTGAAGCAAAAAAGAAATGAAACTTGGTGTATGTGATGACATTGAGGGGTAGATGTGCGAGACATGTTTTTTTGTGTTTGTCGGACAAAGCGTTGCCATGGTAACCACAATTTTACCAAACCTTATAGTGCAAATTACTTCCACAGAATTTAAGCAATTAATGTCAAATTTGGTATCTATAACGATCTATGAATGTGGTTATAAAAAACACCCTTTGTGATTGTGCGCCACCTAGCGTTGCCATGGTAACCAGATATTTTTGCAAAACTCTTGCTGAGCGAACTACTTCCATAATATTGAAGCAATTGAAATCACATTTAGTGTTCATGACGGCACTGGGGTATAGATGTGCAAGACATACTCTTTTTATTTTTCGGACAAAGCATTTCCATGGAAACTGTACTCGGATAAAGCGTTGTCCTGGTAAACACATATTTTTGCATTAACATGAAGCATTTAAGCTATTATATGATCAAATTTGGTGTGTACGATGATCTATATGTGTAGTTGTGCAAAATGCCCTTTGCGTTTGCACCGGACAAAGCATTGTCATGGTAACCACAAACTTTTTGTAAAAATCTTGTTGAGCGAATTACTTAACTCGAAAAGAACTATGTTTTTTTTTTACACACACACACACACGACACATATACACAAATAATTTTTAACCCAAGTTACATTCTTTATGATCACATGAGTTGGATATACTGGATTAGGGGTATTAATCACCTTCAGTGATATTTCTAGTTTGCTCTGTTTTTAAATCTTCTTGGCATCAGAACTGATGGGTCATTACTATTATGGTACCACTTGGACTACATGTTATATATGTTATTGCATCTGATCACATATGTACACTAGCAAGATTTGGAATACATGTCTGACCAGACAAAGTATATATCTCATAAATAATTAATAGCTTACCATGCACCTGGAGAGTTGTGTAAACAGTAGGCTAAATAAAAGGAATGGTATTCCCAATATTTTCATCATTACAAGCTTCTGAATGAGGGAAATGCCTACCTGGTAAGCGCAACCATACATTGTTGCTAATGAGATAAATGAAGGAATTATTTCTGACAGTTGCAAGAGCAAAGTTCTGTGCAGGGTAGCCCGGCTTTTGTGCACCTGCAGCGACTAACACAACCAGATTCTGACTTGCAGCCACACCTGATGAGCTCCTTACAGACTTTAGCTGCCTCGGGGATGGTCATCCAAACGGGTGCCCAGTGATTATCTTCCATTGTCCATCCCCACCCTTCTGGGGGAGGAACCGAAGGTTGTGCCTGGCGACATGTTGTCCAGATACCACCTTGGTATAGCACTCTCTTGATATGCTGGAGCAAGGCATCCTAATATTGTGGGAAAAAAACAAAACACATGGGGTAAAAGGTTAGTCAACTGTTTGGAGAAAAAAATAAAATACTGTGGGTGGAAATACATGTATGTTATCAGTAGCAAAGGATACTCATCTGAGCATCTTCCCATGCCAGATTCCAGTATAACACAATATTCTTGCAAGGAGTGTTCAATAACATTTATAAAATGCAGAAAATGATATAAAGTAATGACCCCCTCCCTTCCCACTTATTGGTCAGCTATCTCTCTTATTGAATTTCTTGCTACGTTCAATATTCTGTCCCATCTCTTGAAGTAGGAAAAGTGATTGAGAAGGTAAAAATGGAAATACCTGAGTTGGGGGTATATTCTCCAGGCTTCTTTTCTTCTTGCAGAAAAGCTCTCGGCGTGCTTCATTCACAGAGAGGAGATTGCTTGTGATGTCATACAGCAGGACTGTAAATCGCTCAAGATGACGGAAATGTTCACATGAAACATCGACTGCTCGGAATGGACGATCCACAAAGTGAAGGAATGCCTGTGTTACTTCAGGATAAGATTTCCAGACCCTCCAAGCACTTTTTTTCCCTTTTGCAAGAAAGCAAGACGTAGTATCACAGCCAGTGTAGGCATGAAACAGGGGCAGCGCTAGTGACTTGTCTTCTCCGAGATTTCTACAAATGTTGTTGATGTTATAGTGGCAGAAGTTCTTGCCCATACCGAATGCTACCCAAATGTCAATGTCAGGATATTCTACGATCAATGATGGAAGCTGCCCGACGAGAATAGCAATGATATCTGTGTCCACTGTTCGAATTACAATCTTCTTTGACCCTCTCTCCGCTGCATGTTGAAGATGAACTATGATTCGCGTGTCAGCCTCTTCATGAGTGCAGTCTTCCATGGGCTCGCAATCACCTCTTGTAATTACTGAAGTACCTGAAATATTAAAGAGAAAGAAAAAAAGTTTCATAATTTTGTAAAGTTCTATTGATAAATTGTCACGATGGAAAACTTTTTATGTTTACAATGTTCTTTCCATATAAGTCACAGATAATTTATTTCAAAACTGACCTCTCAAGCTCAATAAGCTCCTTTCTATACCTGCCAACCTCTTGACATGAAAATTTTTACTGATTTAGATAGAAAATCTTATTTTTAATGCATACTGGAGGCAAAAATCTTACTGTCTCACAAATTTGTAAAATCATACAGTAACACATTTTTCAAAAAATCTTATTTTTGTATCAGAAAATTTCAACTTGGGCGGTGAAAAATCTTACTAAATCTGATAAAATGTTACTGGTTGGCAGGTATGCTTTTCTACATTTATTGCTTATAATTACACTAAATGATATTGAATTTTGCTGTTTTTTCAGTCAAATAATTATTACAAATTAGTATGAATCCGAATTAGAAGCACAGGAACAATAAAGTACCTGACGTTACATACAGCTCCTTGCCCTTGGGACACTCTCCTGCAGCCACGGTCTGTGTCAGGAATGCAAACAGCTCTTCTTTGTTGGTGCTGTCTTGGAGGAAGTCTTTCCATTTGACTGGCATTTTAGTCTTGGATGCTACCTTTGTGCGTACTCCACTTCCTCGTTTCTGGCGAGTAGATTCCTTGATACTGCAGGCCAAGTATCTGTCCCACACCAAATCCAGTCGTCTGACTCCTTGCAATTCACGGTTGAGAACGGGCTTGAAAACTGTTCTTGCATAGTCCTCAAATGTTGACACGGAAGTTGCTGGTAACCCATGAACTAGAGCTGCACCATCAAAAATCTTGCAGTCCACTTGTGCCGGAGGCTCTCCTTGTCCATTTGTGTTCAGACATGTTAGTAATTTAGACTTGCTGGATGTCAAGCGCAGTTTCCTACTATTTGAGATAGATGGCGGGTATGCCTGATTCTCGTGGCTGAAGAATACGGCTGGGTCACCGTCACGCAGCTGGTTTGCAATGTACATATGACCAAAGAGGCTCACATCATTCCGAAGAGATGCAATTTTCTCATTTTTACGATTCCCTTTTGCCTTCACTGGTGTCTTGAAAAGTGGGAGAGAATTCTTCTTGATTGGTGCATGGATAGTTTTGCTTTTTTCAATGAGCACTTCCCGCTTGTATGTTTGATACTGATCAGAACCCAGTGCTTCGATATGTTGTACTGTCTCCACCACTGATTTATCAGCACATTCCCGAGAGTGCAAGACCAATAATTCAGAGTGATCCTCGAGGAAAGGGCTGCCATATTCGTTGATTGTCTTCATCAGTTTTGCTGTTTGATTTCTGAAAGATTCTTGGTTTGATTGTGTCTCTTCATGATGTCTGAAATTTTCCTCTGGATCTTCTTCAGGTATTCACTTTCAAATTCTGTCAGCAGCCTGGCTTGCTCAGGACCTGCAAGCATCCAACGTTGGAAAGCAACAGGATTTTCAGTTAAGCCCACGGCTCCACCCTTTCCTTTGACTTTGGCATTTTCCTGTTCATGGACTTGATCAATGGGAAGTGCAGAAAATCTCTTTTGTGTTTTGCTCACAACCCAGTACTTCTGGAGTTCCTCTGACACAGTGGCTGGTAAGGACTGCATATCTCGCAGGTGGACAGAAACCCAACGGCTGTAATTGTAGTGGTCCAGCGCAAAAAACAAGAACATGAGGCTTTGCAGTGACTCCACAAAGAGGAGGAAGTCTCTCTCTCGATGAGCTCTAATGAATATCAGGATCAAAATCTCAGTTCGCAGCACCAAGTCCCAATATTGAAAAGTAGGGCTTTTACTGGACATAGCCTGTCTCCAGTCTTCAAATGTATCACCCTCACTTGAGACTGCAACCTGTTCATATGCACGTTCTTGTAGTATTGAAAGAGCTAGGGCAGTTACCTGATGAGCATGACGGGTCCTTGTAACATGAGCAGCCTTGATGAATGAGTTGGCTGTGCCCGATGATGCAACACCTGAATCACTCAGAGCTACCGTCCATCCACTTTGGTCAAGGAAATCACCAAGTGCTGTCCACAAGGCTTTCTCCAAATGGAAGCCACCAAACATGATCACAAATTTATCCTCACCATGCGTAGTAGGCCAGGTCCATTGTATATGCTTGCAGTTAGCAAAGATTGGGCAGTCACACGCCAGCACAGGGGTTTGACCTGGATTGAGGAAGTTAGTGATGGCCTTGAGGACATTCATAGCATGCTTTATCATAGCAGGGGAATCTGCTTTCTCTTGGAAGAGAGGGAGAAGTGCAACCACAGCAGGAGGATCAAGAGGAGGTGATTGCTGAGATGCATGATATGCAGCCCAAGAGATCGGTTCACCTTTTTCAAGAGGATCTTTGTCAAGGAGTTGAGAGGCATGCTGAATCCATCTTCCTTCCTTTTCTCTTGCTTGTTGAAGCTTTCCATCTACAGCTGTCATAGTGGCCTTTGGAACAGTAGTTGATGAGGCTTTGAGGTGGACTGATTCGACTATGCTATAAGCATCAAGGAGTTGAGGTTTTTCATTTGGATTTGCAGGAAGGAACCACTGTGACATCCGCCTACATCCGTGATGGTCGTGTGTTGGAAATTGGATGACACTTATACCACTGCCATGGAACGACCCTTGAGCTGTAGTGGACGAAGGGTTGTGGTCCAGGTTATCCAGTGCCCCAACAGAAAAGAGGCCTTTCCTGAGAATGGATGGGCACACGATTTGTTCAGCTGTGAATTGTTTGCACATTGCCACTGACAGTTTCTTCTCAAGCTGTAGAACTCGGTCGTAGGAGATGCTTATACCTAGCCTGGCTAGCTGATTGATAAGTTGCTTGTTCCTTGTCATTGTGTGGATGTTAAGGCCAATGTAGATTGGAAGTGGAGGCTCTCTGTCCAGTGACTGCCGTTTATGTGGAGTCGGTTTCATACACCTCTTTTTGGAATTATGGAGGAACATCTGGGCTATCGTGTGACATACTTGTGAGTCATCATCGTCATCATTGTTCTTCATATCTGGTCCATACAGGATCATTGATGATAGGAGTGAAAGACTTGGAAGCATTTTCTGACAATTTGTAGGGAAGCTGCCAGAAAACATAAAGTGTGTTTTCCCGAACATTTCTTGTCTGCAGATTTTTGCAACTTTGGCAAACAGGAAAGCTTCATCTTGGTAATCCTTGTCCTTGAGAGCATCCTTCAGCAGTTGTTGCATGCCTTCAGGGAATACAAGAACAACATTCTTGCCATCTGACTGTTCCTGTACGTCTGTTTCAAAGAAGTGATCCACAAGCTTGGTTTTTAATCGCCCCTTATTCACCGAGACATGATATCCAAGACTTTGAAGACGGTGTTCATACTTCTCGTGGAGATCAGATAGTTTGAAGATGTACTGCCCATCTTGTATTGCAAACTCAACATAAGAAACTAGCTCAACAAATGCTTGAGCATGTGCTCGTTCTCCTTCCACTGTTTCCTTGTTGGACTTAGAAGAACTACATTTCCGCTGATGGCCCCTGTAATTGTTCCTAAATTTTGTCAAACAATCCAAGTGATACTTTACTTCGAGAGCAATGATATCACTTCCTCGTATTTTTGACATGAGTTTTTCATCTTGCATGTCACTTGCCATTCTCTTGAGAGACTGATCAGCTTCGAATGTTTGGAAATTGTGCAATGTTTTATTTCCAGCTTGTTCACAGAAGAGGCACAAACTCTTGTATTCAAATTCCGATTTCTGGCGCTTTGACCGTCGTAAGTCATTAGGTATACATTCTTTCTCATCTTTACTTTTTCCCTCCAATTTTCTTTTGAGTTTGTTATTATTAAATTTTTGATGACAAGAACGATGCCATGAGGCGTTGTTTCTCACAAATGCTTCAACTGTTCCCTCAGGTCCAAAGTCTACATCAATCGGTAATGAGTTTATTTTCCGGAACTCGTCAACATTTTCCAAGAATGAAGCATAAACTTTTTCTGCATTGTGCATTAATCCTTTTTGCGGACAGTTCACTTTTTCCTGTGTATGTTTCTTGCAGATTATACAAATGCTCCAATCCATGATGACCTATATAAAATGAGAATAAATATACTGAAAATCAAACCTGCAGATACAGGTCACTTACTTTTTTATTTATCCATTTATTTTATTTATTTATTTGTTTATGTTTTTTTAATTTTATTGTATTTTTTGCCTCTCATATCACTCATATTTGTTTACTTATAATCTCTGGTTTATTCAGCTGACATAAAGTTAAACTGCTATAATCTAACGTCATCATTGGCTAGGAAAAATCCAATATAACGGCTTGATAAAAAGTTGATAGCCTTGATTAGTAGGCCTATACTACATGGTAAGTATAGTTATGGGCCGTATGAATAAAGAGTGGCAATTGCTTGAGGGAGCCTGTTACTTGAATCTGTACGCATATAAATTGATTGCAAGAAAAAGCTTTTGCTAGCAAGCTCAAGCATTTGTTAAAAATGTAGTCATAAATTAAATATTTTGCTTTTACCTAGAAGCAGTTGTACAGAAGAATTTGAGTGTGAGTACTGTATACGGCCCAATGTACAGTATATACTTCTTAGAATCAATAAAACATGAACCCGTAACTATACCAGTGTAGATAAATATGCTTGGTCCCCATTTACAGAGACATTCAGAGAGGCATCGGTCCAATTCTGATGTAAAGACATAAACTTAAAAACCGCATTGCAGTAATGAATTTTCACCCAACTTTAAATTACCCAGGTCTGGCCTATGTGTAAAGTTATGCGGGCTTAAAGTTGATTGGTACACACTTCATCAAATTAGCTCTGATATATGACCATAACACACCCTAATACACCTATAATAATGCACACAAACACTCACTCGAATTAGATTTTGACCAACCTATGCCCCGTTCAAAGTTGTTAAGGTGTGTCTGGTGGTATAGACTAGCAGAGTATGGCACAATTCTACTTATCTTCCCCTTTGTTTTCAAAGTACAATTCATCTTGGAAGAGAAATGAATAGCACCAATTTCATGAAAGGTGATGCAAAGAAAAGAAAAATTATTTCTGACTAGTACTAAAATCAGTTTTGTTCATCGTCTCTTGAAATGTTATTTTACTTCCTTTCCAACCCTTCATATATTTCATAACACAAATTTGCATGGGTGGGACTGACTCTTGGTTTGTTCTTAGCAAGTGTACATATCATCATTGAAATTACAATATGCCTAAATAGTTAAGAAGATGTTTATTACAGTAAAAACTGATTTACTTACGTTTGTAATGAGGGAAATGTCTGAAATAAATCAACTGGATCCGGAGAAGGATGAAAATAGCTTTCTCTGCAATCCCATTGCTTTCTAATTCTCTGAAACTACAGCTTGCAGTACAAACTCTTGACCAATCAGAAGCCAGCATTCATGGGAGTCAGGGGAATTCCCTGTTATGCTAGTCTATGAATGCAGACACATTGTCACACAGGTGGGACTTTTGAAATTATGTAAATTAAGGCTACTTACTCATGATTCGTGTCAGCAGATTTTTTGGAGCATAGCCTAATTTTGATCCTCATACATATACAAATGTCTGGTGAAAAAATTATGCTTTTGTCCGGCCTGTCATGATCAAAGGTATATTTGTCACTAAGCTACCCCACTAGTAAGGGAGAAAGATTATTTGGAAATTTTCTAATATAGATCATCATAAACATATAATCATGTAAGTCATGGATGTCATGGAATTTCTACTCACAATTCAAGAGCACTTGTTTTGTCCACAGCATGGTTTATCCTCGTACAAACCTACAAGAACAAGCAAAAAGGTTGAACATTTCTTTCGAGAAGTGATTTATGAAGATGAAGTTATCTTTAAAGTCATCCAAATGGCAACAGCATCATATACCACAGCCTCTGACCATGCCTCATTATTCAGAAGTATGTCACATCATGGCACACTCTGAAATAGGTTACAGTTATTTACTGAAGAAGCCTGCTTGGGCTAAGGGCCCCCAAGCCTACAAGTGCCCCTTTATAAATCCATTGCCCTCTTCAACTGATCTTTGCTTCAAGGGGAGATGTTTAACAAACTCTTTCTTTGAGCAAAGGCCCATTTACTGGAAAGCGAGCTACATGTCCATGGAGAGGTGTGAATCTGATTTTCAATCTCCACACCAGGGCCATGTCTTTAATACAGAGAGTTGATATTAATCACAACTCATTTGCGATTGATATTAATGGCAACTATGTACATAAGAGTGTAGCTTGCTCTGTAGGTTGTTAGATGATCTGCTGCACCTGTGAAATTGCTAATTTTGTGCCTCGTTTAAATATTGTGCAGAATAGGATAATGGTAATTAGGTACCTAGGAGGGATATTGATCTCTTTAAACTTTTACCAGTGAAAAACAAATTTCTGAATAGACATCAAATAGGTTACTTGATTTCGATTTCAATTTCATTTTTCTTCTAGAATATTCAGATTATTGACTGAAGCATCTGCAGTACATGTCCAACTGTTACTGGAATGTTCTTCAATGTTAGAAATATCACATGCATTTAAAATGCTAGAAATGTCTAAATTTGGAAAAAGACTGCTCTGTCCTTTCTTACAGTACAAAAGTGAGTTCATGCAAGTCCTCAGTCTCTTCCTCTTAACAGGGTTAGCTCAAGTGGAAAAGTATAGGTTGAACATGACATTATCCAACTGAGTAAGCAGAGAAGAAACGATGCATTTTGGGCGTGAAAACTAATTCCTTGGACTCTCTTCTCCCTTCAGGAACTATTCAAGAAATCATTCATCCGTTTCACTCTGTTTGATTACTGTCTTGAGCTATTTACAAACTTTGTCTCACATTCACACGTATCTGTTGTTCCCTCGTTTCTACCCAAAACCCTTCTGGACAGCTCAGCTTTTCATCCATTGAATTATATTTGATTGTTAGGGATGGAAGTGAAAAGATCCCTTGTTTGAGTGACAGAACAAGAATTAGAGTCTCTTTCTAGATTCTTCATCTTGTATATTACACAATTATGCAGTTTGCAATTCAACTGTTTTTCTCACAATGTTGCCAGGAGTTCAATATTTTACAGATATGATGCAGTACATACAGAAAATGAGACATGATTTATGGATATTTCAGCCGTCTCTGAACCAATTTTGATCAAACAAAGATGATTTTGTCATTTGACGCTAAGTTTGTCATTATCTTACAACAAAAATATTTTGTTGTATCCCCTCTATTCCAAAACTCAACTTTCCCTTTAAAAGTGGTTCACTCCCAGTTGTGGAGGAGAAATAAGAAAGTCTTTGATTTTTGTTTACACCGGTTGTCCTTGCGACCTTATAAGATACATCTATTGCAAAACAGTGTTTTTCAATGCAAAGGCCATTCCACAATGCTAAAATGTAAGCATTGGGTTTCATATGTATGTGTACATTATTGAAGATGCTAACTCTCTCTCTCTCTCTCCCTCCCTCCCTCCCTCCCTCCCTCCCTCCCTCCCTCCCTCCCTCCCTCTCTCTCTTGCTCTCGCTCTCACACACACACACCCACACGCACATACCATTTAAAACTATACTTTGTAAAAAAATAATATCAGATTCAATATTCTAATTTGCTAATATTAGATTCAATATTACACTGTGTGACAAATAAATGGGCATCTGCCCTGGCTGTAATCATATCTACATGTACATACATACAAGTACATGAAGACTTTCGCTAGGAACATCTGGAAGTAGGATTGCTTCGACTTCAGTGAGCTAAATTACAACGAAAAATAGTTTATAAATTACCCATTAGAATATACACTGTCTGCAACTACATTTTTGTATGTTTTAGCTTACCGGTACATGCTAGGGCATATATTTTGATCACTTCTTGCTTCAAGTACCTGCTTGAGTGCTATAGACAGCCTGTATATAGAGTGTTTATACAGTGCAGCAGAGTACTCGCATTTCTTCTTCGCGTAGAGGCTATCACAACAATGTAGACATGTGGCATCCTATTGCACAACATGAATGAATGAATGAATGAATGATGGCCGGTAATGTGCAGCAAATACTTGAGAAGCTTCCAAGGACATGAATGAAATTCCTGTCCATTTCATGCAAGGATTTATATTAAAGGCATCATTCAACAATGTTAAATCTGAGATGCATGGCCCTACATGTACGTGTTATCAGTGTCTGTGATATGGTGTTATATTGAAGTCCTAAAAAAATTGCGTTTCAAAATGATCAAGAAGTGCCTCAAAAAAGTAAAATCCTTTGAGTGACCAGTTTTGCCATACTCTTTTTCCCCTTTAGACTGTAGTGTTATGAAAACCGTTTTGGCAAACGCAAACTTTGATTTAGATTTTCAATCATCAATATTTTGATAATCAGACGGGCGATCGTCTTGTAAAAGTCATAGGATTCCTGACTGACCTAAAGGTTTATAATTATCATTGCAGCATGAGCTAAATCAAGAAATTTTTTAAAGGCCCACTGCACTACTTGTAGCTACTTGCGCCCTCTATATAACAAACGATGCCTAATCGGTGACCATTGGTCCCCCATGATCCTCTTTTTCTTATGTTAACTGAGAGCTGAGTTGATGAGATAACCACCTGTCCAGTGACCTTGTAGGGCGGTCTAAACCCTCCTGTAAACTATGGCAGATAAGCTTTAAACGATCTATTAAAGATAAACTCCAGTACTGGTAAAAAAATAAAAATAATTCTCACAGAATCAAACGAAACTCACACTGAATGTTCAAGATTACAAATAAATGACATGTGCCAAACAATTTTGGAAGAAAATGTATACTGGCTGAGTAATGAGCATAGAAAGACAAGGAAATCAAGGTAGTACTAGCCCCGACACCATGTGTGTTGTCCCATATATAGCTTTCTATGTGAGTGCTTGTTACTTTACCAAGACTCGGTCAAATTTATTATGATTTTGATGACTCCAGAACCTTGCAGTGCACACCAATACTTACATGCTACATGATCAACTGTTTCTGATCCTTTCCACATGCACCTTTTCTTTTACAATGCAATCGCATTACCAGTACTAAAGTTTATCTTTAAAGACAAAGTTACCGGATCCCTTTAATCGCTGTTTTTGCTACAGTCTACAAACTTTGGCCTAGATACATGACGATTGACGAATTTACCAAATATATATTTTGAATGTAAATATTTTTCAGAGCTGCTCCTTGGAAAGCCCACTTATACTGCATTCCATGGAGCAGTTACACTTTGTTTCATCTGCTTTAAAGGTAAAGACCAGTATTGGAAACGCCCCAATTTCAAAAAATGAAATGGAAGCTCTCATTACCAATCATGTGAAAGAATATGTTTTGACTAATACATGATGATAAAAAATTTGCCGGGAAACCGCCTACTAATTGATATATTTGGTAAATTTGTTTCTCTCATGGTCTGTGAGAGATATAGGGTAGTCCCATATACATCTTTCTGTGTATAGTGCTTGTAACTTTACGAAGAATGGGCCAAATTTCTTATCATTTTGATGATTCCAGAACCTTGCAGATGCTAGGTGCTAGATGATCAACCTTTTCTGATCGATTCCACAACGTTTCTTTCACAATGCAATCGCATGACCATAACTGGTCTTTACCTTTAAGTGGATGGTTGTTTGAATATTCTTGCCATCAGAGTTGTGACAAGACAAACTTCAAGGGCAGTGAGCAAGTGAGCTCTGCGGGGAGTTCTGAAAGAGCTGCATTGATAGAAATAAAAAAAACATTTTGAAAAGTCTGTGAGAGGATCAGAGGAAACCCCACTTGTTTTATTGAAACTCAGAAAGAGCTTCAGTGAACAAACAAGTGTTTTGTAAGTTACTGCATCTCAGAACATATGAAAGGTAGCACTGCTTTATCTTTGTTGAGCAATACATGTATTGTAGGTGGTGTAGGACAGTAGGGTATCTTCTATGGTAAAAATCCTGGGGGAAAAACACTTAGTATAAAACCAGAAGATGGTGTTCATTCAACCCAAAGAAATTGCACTTTTTTTCTGAAGCAAACTCCAAAGAGAGCAATTGTGAACAAGAAAGTAATTTGTACACAGTTGCTGTGATTTCCCCCGCCTCTGCAATCATTTCAACTTCAAATTCTTGTGTTGAGGAGAAGTTAGTGTAAAACTAAATTGCCAGATTGCTTCATTTGCTTCAAGTGTCCTACTTCAGTAGGTCATAAATCATCTTGATGTGTTATGATTATGAATTGAAATGGATATGTGCTTTTAGAAATTCCGAAGAGAAGAGCTTTTCCTACTGTCCCTCAAGACCTACATGAACCTCTCTAAAAAGGCCTGTTTTCATTAGCCACAATTAACCTAACTTGTGGAAATGAAAATTGACTTTTACTCTTGTAGAATAGCTTTTCTTTCTGTGCCGTACGTTGTTACTATCTATATATTCTAATGGAACTGTCCTCATTAGCCCCAGTTTTCTAATTAACTTGCTTATTTAGATTCTTTGGAAATGATGCCCGATGGCTAGTGTTAGTCAAGCTACATGTATCTTGCATCTTCAACACAAATTAGCTGAAGCCGCTGGAGCCATTTAACGGGGAAGGCACAAATAGCACACCTGGGACATTAAACAGTTTAGCTATCATCCCAAGAAAACTGGGGCTTGTTTGCAAAACAGCCTTCCATTAGCCCAATTAGCAGGCTAATTCGCAAGTGAAGAAGCACTCAGACAGTGATATGCTCTGAAGATTAAGCGCCATCAGGGATTGCTTTTCCTAAGGTTCAGATTCTGAATATAAATCAAACCCTGTCTTGTTT